ATGGTACGCCCTCCGTGCCCCCTCAGATTCCTTGCATCCCTTCCCAGCCACCCATATCTCCCCAGGACGCCACCCTGATCTCCCAAAGTCACCGTCCCCTCCCCGCAACCCCCACCACGTTGAGCTCCTCACTTGCCCCCAGCTCCACCATAAAACCCCAGCCCCGACAAGCCCTCTCCAAAGCCCGCCAGTTCCACTCACCACCTCTCTTGGCAGGCGGTGCCTCAAGGCCTCGACCCTCGGGGGGCCCCGTGCGGGGTCCAGGGGGGCGCAGGGGCACCCCTGCGTCAGGGAGCCCCACGGCATGGCAGGACAAGGAGCGGGGGGCCATGCCGGGGGCACAGGGCCGGGGGCCACGTTCCTGTGGCGCCGGCAGGGTCAGGAACCCTACGCGCAGTGGGCGCCGCAGGGACCCCCCCTCCCGCGCCTTGGGGACCCTGGGGAGGGGACAAAGGGGGTCAGGGCAACCCTGAAAGTTTTGGGGAAGCCCCAACCCCCTTAGAGGTGCTCTGGGACTTTGCTCCTGTGCTGCAGGGGCACTTGGGCACAGGGGAAAACTAGGGTCCCCCATCTTTGGTGGTTCTGAGGTGCACAAGCTGGGCCATGGGTCTCAGGGTCAATCCCAGGAGTACAGGGGGCACTGGGGCTCTTGCAGGGGGGTTCTGGGAAGGAGAAGGGGTCCCAGGTTCCCTCAGAGTGAGTTGGTGCTCTTTGGGTCCTGCCAGGGAAATTCCGATGGGTTGTGTAACCTCCCAGGGTGGTCCCAAGGGATCCCAATGTCCCCTGAGTGGCTCAGGGTGGTCCTGGGGCGCCTGATGTTCACTGAGGGTGGTCCCAGAGATACCAGTTTCCCAGCAAGGTAGTCTCGGGCCTTTTCTGGGTCCCTCCCCGACTGTCCCCAGGGGTCCCAGTGTCCTCCCCGGGATGACCCCGTTGTCCCCTCACCCCTTGCGCGGCTCCTCCTCGCGGGGGCGCCACTCGGGGCGGCCCTTGCGCTGCAGCAGGTTCATGGCGGCCGCCGGGGGGCGCTCCTCGCCCAGGCG